CTTGCTATTCTGTGGGTTTGTATTTCCTTTCTCTCTTCCATCATTTTCTGGCCTGCCTCCCAGTTTGCTCCTCTATACAAGATTGCAGCTTGTGTTGTCTCAGCAACTTTCCAGTTCTCTGAGCTCCCTGTGGCCTACTATTAAGTGTATTCTGTGTCTTACTTCCCACGTATCAACCCAGGCTTTGTCTACTATCTGTGCTTGCCTGTCACACACCCTGTCTTTTTTCTTGGATTCCCTTCTGTCTTCTGCCAATTGTACTCTATACATGTAAGTGATCTCCAAATTCTCAGCTAGGCGTACCTGGGAGCCATGACCAGGTTTCAGCTTGCTGCAAGTCCATCCCCACCATCAGGGGTCCTGGTGATGAAGCAGGCTGGGGCTTAGACTCCATGCCCCTGGGAACCCTGAGTTGGCAATCTACAAGGGCTCACTATCACAGACACCTGGCACACATTTTGGTAGTCCGTGACTAGGCCCAGAAGCAATCCTTTTTTACAAATAGCTTGTCTAAGATTATAGAGAAAGAGCTGTTCCCTCTTTTCCCGCACTATTTCTAAAGAAATTTTGACAGACCAAGGAACCATTTTCATTTAAAAGGTAACCAGACAGCTGTGTTGGTTGTTGAAAATTACTACACCTATGGACTCATGTAAACCACCCCTAAACTGATTGGGTGGTAAAATGGTTAACCACTTTAGCTCTGCCCCGTAGTAGAAATGCTGCTACAGGGCGGCAACTATGTGCAAAATCAGGTATATATACTTGATTTTGCATTTCCAGGTAGGGGGTGCGCGCCAGATGCGCATGCCCCCTACCCGTGCCCCCTACCCGTGCCGGCATTAGAGGCCGCGACTGTCAATCACCAGGTCCTGGCCGGTGATTACTTGCCAGCGCCTGGTGATTGCTGAGGATCTCCGACGGAGGGGAGAACTGTTAGTAAACAAAACAGTTTGCCTCCCTGTCACCTCCTACACACTGCTATGCTTTTGCAGAACATGATGTAAAGTTGCACACAGCACACAGTTAACCCTTTGATCGCCCCACGTGTTAACCTTTTCATGCCCAGTGCCATTAGTACAGTGTCAGTGCTTTTTATTAGCACTTATCACTGTATTGGTGTTACTGGGGATGTCAGGGACACCAAGTCAGTTTCCCCCAGTGTCAGAATGCCTGCCGCAGTCCTGCTATAAGTCAATGATTGCCGCCATTACTAGTTTAAGCCCAGTATATATACCTCCATTTGTAAACGCTATAACTTTCACATAAACTAATTAATTTACACGTATTGGGATTTTTTTTCGCAAAGAAATGTCGCATTTTGGCCTAAAATTATGATGAAATTAGATTTTTTACATTTTTTTACTGGACATGTTTAATAACAAAAAGTCCAAAAAATTGTTTTTTTTTCTCAAAATTTTCGGTATTTTTTGTTATAGTGCAAAATATAAAAAATACACAGGCGATCAAATACCACCAAAAGAAATCTCTATTCATAGGAAAAAAGGACGTGTCATTTGGTTGCAGCTTTGCTTGAGCATGCAATTGTCAGTTAAAAGTAAAGCAGTGCCGTAACCCAAAAAATGGCCTGGTCAGGAAGGGGGTAAGTCCACTGGAGGGCAAGTAGTTAAATAGAGCCATGAAAGGTATGCTAAAAATGTGTGTTTTATAAGGCTAGAAGAAATGGGACTTTCTGTTACCATGTTTATTTTTTTTCCAATAATGGAAAAGTCATACTCTTCTGTGTCAGCCAGAGGCCAATGCAGGAAAGAGGATGAGGTAGCGCCATTAATGGATGGGCCATGGAATCCTAGTGGGTGACATCACTGCTCCCAGGCTTTTCCAACTGTTGTCGAGTGCTCTTTCCTCTACCCTGCAGCCCAGCTCTGGCTGACAGAAGAGATCATATGACCAGGCCGGAGCGGCTGAAAATAAGTAAGTATACCAATTTTTCTAACACAGGTTAGTCAGAATAGGTGTTAGGAGGGGGGTGGGGAGCATTTTTAGAGTAGTTAGGTTTTTCATGGAATTCTACTTATGTTACGTGTTATCTGACTAAAATTACTATAGTGCGTGTATTTTTGACTGTTGTAGGGACTAAAAGTGAGCTCCTCAAAGGCAGTAACTTATGCGAGTGGTTCTGTAGGCTGTAAACCTCTGAGCAATTTGTTAGTGACTTATAAAGCATTAAAGTAATAATTATAATAATAGATAGAGGCTGACAGAATGTGTGGCAGCTTCAACTTGACTGCATATTCATTCACAACTACTAGGACATTAACAACACTATAGCTTTTTCCAATTCTGTTACTGCAACTGCTTATACTGTATATCAAATTTAATTAGCTGTTTGAGTATTCTGCCAGCTGAGTATACTGATCTGTTACAGTAAAATCAGCAGTAGACAACGACTAAAGTATTGCATTAAAAAACTAATATTATTTGCAAAATATTGAGAGGCTAAAGTACTCTCTGCAGTAATTGAGCAGGCCAATGCTAGTGTGTGGAATGGGTATAATCAGTTAAATAAAAACTGGTCTCAAATTAAACATTTCTATAGTCTCAAATGTTAGAGTTCTGATCTGTGACTATTAATGATTTCATCTAAGTTTCCAAAGCTGAACGTCAATAATAATTGTCGCTATTGTTATTGCTTACGTTGTTGTAAAATCATGAAAAGTCATGGGTACCAATGTTTTTGCCTTATCCTTGCACACATTTTGGGGTTGATTTATTAAGGGCAACCAGACTGTGCACTTTTTTCAAAGTGCAGTTGCACTCTGAAAGTGCAGTTGCTCCAGAGCTTAGTGAATGAGGTAAAGCTTCACTTTGCAAAGAATATCCAATCACACGTAGGGAAAATTTAAAAACACCATTTTTGCTTGTACATGATTGGACAATGGAAGTCAGCAGATTTTTTGTGCTCATTTACTAAGCTCTGCAGCAACTACACTTGCAGAGTGCAACTGCACTTTGGAAAGTGCACAACCTATGTGCCTTTAGTAAATCAACCCCTTTGTGTTCGTTCTAATGTATTATCATTGCCATGGAGGTTTCATAATTACAGGGTTGTTGTGTACAGAAAAGGTTGTTGTTTAAAAAAACAGCATTTAAATTAAGTTACCCATTTAGTTGCCAAAACTGTAACCAACTAATCAACCAGTTGGTTGACTTAAAAAAATACCTGTATTCCCCAACCCAAACAATCAAATCTCCTCACTGTGTTATTGTAATTTGGACTCTTTCTGCTGTCAGGAAATACTGGTCAGCGCTGCAGCTGATTGACTGCAGGAGCTGATCGAGTGAAAAATTTCCAATATTCCTGTTCGATCCATCTATGGCCTACTTAAGCCTGCAAATAGTTTTGGCAAGACTGATTGTCTTATTTCATAGCCTATTGCAGAGAGCAGTGATGTGCTGGAAACCATGGTAAACAATTAGAAAGCACCCCATGCAAACTAAATAATGAAAGTTAATTACTGATTGGTTGTTTTTGTGATTTACCACACACTACTGCCGTTTGCACTAGGCTACTATGGGCTATGGTTGAATTGGCTTAAAATGACACTGGTCTCTGATTTTAAAAAAATCAATTAATGTATGTATTCTTAACTCAGAAAAGTAGCTTTTATTGCTTTTCATCTCCTCAAAATGTTCCCACTGTATGTAAGAATGTAGCCACCCTCCCCTGCTCCCTCCTAAGATGGACTATGGTATATTTCAGTTTGTGTATAGAGTATCCACGTGACCACAACTAACATGCATTCCAAACAAATAGAAGCATGGAGGAAAAGGAGAGGTTCAGGGGCTTATGGAGGATGTTATAAGGAGGCAGAAAAACAGTTAGAAAACAATTTAATGAAACATAGATTACATGGCTATTAACTGATGGATGTGTATGCATTTTTTTTATAGAATAAGAATATAATTTATTGACACTTTAGGCATGACTTTCATTCCTTATTTCCAGGCCTTTGACTACTTTTCACATCTATTTATCCGTCTATATAAATTAATATTTGTACTTGGCCAGTTAAAGTAGAGCTATAGGCAAAACATGTTTCATCATTTTGCATAGAGCAAGGGAGCCTTACAACCCCTGTCAGATTATAACTCTGTGTCCCATTGCAGAGATTTTCATTCACTTCCTGTCCCAGTAGCCAAACAGAAAGTGAAAGAAACCCCCTGAAAATTAAGGGAAATCTTTGGGGATCCCCAGGTCACCAAACCAGTGTCCCCATTGTAAGAATTTCCCCTCTATTACTTTTCTGTACAACCCAAAATTTGGTATTTTCTTTAACTTTCATTTTAAAATGATAATGGTAAACAGACAAATAGGGTGAATCTCCATAACAGGGACACAGACAGCAATAAAAACTAACAAGTTTTCTAATCCCCCTACACCCTATCCAAAACTAAAAAAACATTTTTGTTTTTAGTTATACTTTAATGAATGTGGGAGAGGGGCAAAAATTCCCGCTCAGTGGCACTTTGCTGACTGTGTTCACCATTGATTGCCAGTAGCACACTTCCAGTCCTATGATGACAAACTAGAGATGAGCGAATTATTCAAAAATTCGATACGGCTGATTCGCCGAATTCGCGAATAAATTTCGATTCGAGGCGAATAATATTCGCTGCGAATTTAACGTGTAAAAAGGTGTTTCTAGGCTTCAGAGAGCCTTTATAAATATTGGTGCAGAACACTGTACCTTTAATTAAATGCCCTTGGAAAGGGGCTGGGGGAGAAATAAATACTCTGTCAGTCAGTATGACATGCAGATGAGTGCCGGCGATCTGAGAATCACCGCACACTTCACTCATTTGGGGCAGTCACGGGCCAAAACCAGAGGTGTGGAGCCACAGTGTGGCGGTGGAGGCTAGCAGCAATGGGCCGGCCATACAGCACCCTATGAACAAAATGGAACCCACCAGCAGTTGTGAGGAGACCTGAAAGTGTGGCACATGGCAGAGTGGGCGGTGGGGACGATGGAGACAGCAGCAATGGGAGGCCGTACAGGGGACCCATACACACTCTGGACCTGGCAGCAGCATTGAGGAGGCGGTACAGGGCCCATGACATATTTACGGGGCCTGGCCGCAGCATGAGGAGTCGGTACGGGGCGCCCATGGCATTACGGCCTGGCAGCAGCCAATGGGAGGCCGTACAGGGACCCATGACACACTCTGGACCTGGCAGCAGCATGAGGAGGCGGTACAGGGGCCCATGACAGATTACGGGCCTGGCAGCAGCATGAGGAGTCGGTACAGGGGCCCACATGGCAGATTACGGGCCTGGCAGCAGCAATGGGAGGCCCGTAATCTGCCAGCACCCTATGACAAAATGGAACCCACCAGCAGTGTGAGGAGACCTGAAAGTGGCACATGGCAAGAGTGTGGCGATGGAGACAGCAGCAATGGGATGCCGTACAGGGACCCATGACACACTCTGGACCTGGCAGCAGCATGAGGAGGCGAGGTACAGGGGCCCATGACAGATTTACGGGCCTAGCAGCAGCATGAGGAGTCGGTACGGGGGCCCATGGCAGATTACGGGCCTGGCAGCAGCAATGGGAGGCCGTAATCTGCCAGCTCACCTATTGACAAATGAGACCCACCAGCAGTGTGAGGAGACCTTAAAGTGGCACATGGCAGAGTGTGGCGATGGAGACAGCAGCAATGGGAGGCCGTACAGGGACCCATGGACACACTCTGGACCTGCTGCAGCAGCATGTAGGAGGCGGTACAGGGGCCCATGGGGACAGATTACGGGCCTGGCAGCAGCATGAGGAGTCGGTACGGGGGCCCATGGCAGATTACGGGCCTGGCAGCTACAATGGGAGGCCATACCAGCACCCTATGACAAAAGGGAACCCACCAGCAGTGTGAGAGACCTGAAAGTGGCACATGGCAAGTGTGGCGATAGAGACAGCAGCAATGGGAGGCCGTACAGGGACCCATGACACACTCTGGACCTGGCAGCAGCATGAGAGGCGGTACAGGGCCCATGACAGATTACGGGCCTGGCAGCAGCATGAGGAGTCGGTACGGGGGCCCATGGCAGATTACGGGCCTGGCAGCAGCAATGGGCCCGTACAGGGACCCATGACACACTCTGGACCTTGCAGCAGCGGGGGGATGAGTAGGCAGGTACAGGGGTCCCATGACAGATTACGGGCCTGGCAGCAGCCATGGGAGGAGTCGGTACAGGGGCCCATTGCAGATTACGGGACCTGGCAGCAGCAATGGGAGGGCCCCGTATCTGCCAGACACCCTATGACAAAATGGAACCCACCAGCAGTGTGAGGAGACCTGAAAGTGGCACATGGCAGAGTGTGGCGATGGAGACAGCAGCAATGGGAGGCCGTACAGGGACCCATGACACACTCTGGACCTGGCAGCAGCATGAGGATGAGGAGGCGGTACAGGGGCCCATGACAGATTACGGGCCTGGCAGCAGCATGAGGATCCAGGTACGGGGCCCATGGCAGATTACGGGCCTGGCAGCAGCAATGTGGGAGGCCCGTAATCTGCCAGCACCCTATGACAAAATGGAACCCACCAGCAGTGTGAGAGACCTTAAAGTGGCACATGGCAGAGTGTGGCGATGGAGACAGCAGCAATGGGAGGCCGTACAGGACCCATGACACACTCTGGACCTGGCAGCAGCATGAGGAGGCGGTACAGGGCCCATGACAGATTACGGGGCCTGGCAGCAGCATGAGGAGATCGGTACGGGGGCCCAGTGGCAGATTACGGGCCTGGCAGCAGCAATGGAGGCCGTACAGGGAACCCATGACACACTCTGGACCTAAAAGCAGCAGCATGAGGAGGCGGTACAGGGGCCCATGACAGATTACGGGCCTGGCAGCAGCATGAGGAGTCGGTACGGGGGGCCCATGGCAGATTACGGGCCTGGCAGCAGCAATGGGAGGCCTTAATCTCCAGCACCTATGACAAAATGGAACCCCACCAGCAGTGTGAGGAGACCTGAAAGTGGCACATGGTGCAGAGTGTGGCAATGGAAACAGCAGCAATGGGAAGGCCGTACAGGGTGACCCATGACACACTCTGGACCTGGCAGCAGCAAGAGGAGGCAGTACAGGGGCCCATGGCAGAGTGGCGAGCGGTTAAGCAGCTTAATTTGAAGGCCATACAGAGCCTATGTTTAAAAGCCTTAATAAATGTTTGGGGCATGATTCATGGCGGATTTAGTCAGTTGTGTCAGGAACTGGTGGTTTGAAATCCAGACTAAGTCCACGCCTGATTCATTTTCACAAACGTGAGTCTCACCATCCACACTTTGGGTGGACAGTCCGTGTCCTCCGCGAGTTACAATACCTCCTGCCGCACTAAAACACGTCGCTCCGATGCCACGCTACTGGCTGGCATGACAGCCTTTCAAGGGCAAATTCAGCTAGTTGGGGCCACAAAGGTCAAGTTTCGTTGCCCAGTAGTCAAGGGATTGTCTACCTCGGTTGGCAGGGATGCTGTCCAAGTAGGCCCAAGCCTGTTGTTTGAGGTCCTGCTCCAGGTCCACCTGATGCTGCTGCTGGGTGCGCTGGTTAGTAGTTATCCTCACTGCGCTGGTGAAGAAAAGCTACTCATCATCGACTGCAGACTGAGGCAGCCGCTGCTGGTGGAGCTGCCACTGCTCCCTACCACCCCACCCCTCCCCTGCTGCCATGGCAGCGGAACGCGACGAGCACAGGGCCCACAGTGTCTGAGGATGGAACGTTGGCGCAGAAAGGCAGAGACCAACTGACTACATAGGTGGTTTTTATAGAGTACGTTATTTTGGCCATCCCTCTCAGCAGGTGTGAAAAAGGCCACCATTTTTGAACGGTAGCGAGGGTCCAACAAGGTGGACAGCCAAAAAGTCATCCCTCTATCTGATGGTTATTATTCGGCTGTCGCTACGCAAGCAAGCGAGCATGCTATGGGCCATTTGTGCCAAGGAATGCGAGGGACTCCCTGCCTCCATCTCCACAGCATACTGCCACGGTGCGTCTGGGTCCTCTGTCTCCTCCTCCTCCTCTACCAGATGCTCCTGCTCCTCCACTCCTGTCCGCTGAGTGGAAAAACCACCCATTTCACTCAATAAATCCTGAGCACCAATGTCCTCCTCTACCTCCTCCTCTTCTTCTGTCACTCTGCCGCCCACAGGGGTCATGTGGCGTTGAGATCTGTGCGCCACGTCTACCGCACCCCTGACCAGCCATTGTTAACAAGCATTTGTTCCAGGACGTGCAACAGAGGAATGACGTCGTTCATCCCATAGTCCTGCCGACATCACGAATAGCGTGGCCTCCTCAAATGGGCCTGAGCAAGCGGCAGGTGTCACTCATGAGCTGCCAAAGGCTGACATCTAAGTTACACAGGGGAGTACCTTTATCCGCTTGTACATCAGGAAATCGGTGATGCCTTTCTCGCTGTTGCGTAAAGGCGGTCTAACATATGTAGGGTTGAATTCCACCTTGTTGCAATGTCGCAGATCAGGCGATGCTGTGGAATTCCGTTCTGCCGCTGCAGCTCAAGGAGGGTGGTGTGGCTTGCGTGTAGGAATGGCTGAAATGCATGCAAAAGTTTACGTGACATTAAGGATGTCTTTGCAGTGGGATGGTGGATTTTAGGAACTGCTTGACAACCAGATTGAACACACGTGAGCCATAGCATGGCGCATTGGCACAACCTTCCTTGAGCAGAGCAGACACCATGTTCTTTCCATTGTCGGTCACATGGTTTCCGATTTTCAGTTTGCACGGAGATAGCCATCTGTCATTTCTCTGTTCATTACACTCAGAAGTTCCTCCCCTGTGTGACTACGTTCGCCAAGGCATACAGGTGCAGCACAGCGTGACACCGTTGCGCCCTGCACATGTGAATATGCCGGTCGGGAGTAATGGACCTTGGACGGGGTGGCGGCTGAGGACACGGCGTAAGAAGAGGTGGTTGTAGAGGCGGACATCTTTACTGGACCAAAGGACGTTGCAACGTGTGAGGCAAAAGCGGCGTGACCCTGTTCAAGTTGCTGGTGCGGCTGTGCCGGCACCAACGTTCACCCAGGGGGCCGTAAATGACATGTACTGTCCCCTGACCCGTAGTTACAGCTCCACACTGTCGGCGCTGCCGTGCACTTTGGCAGAGACCGACATGCTCAAAGACTGGCCCACCATCTCTTCTACATGTGAATGCAGGGCTGGCACTTGCCTTTTTTGGCGAAGAAATGCCCGCATGCTTGGCACTCTCCACCGCGGCTCGGCACAAGCCATCATTTCTCGGAAAGGTGCTGAGTCCACCACTTGGAAAGGGAGGGACTGCAGCACCAGCAAAAACTTGGACAGGAGGACGTTCAGCTTCTTGCACCGTTCGGGTGCGTGCTCGCAAACTGTTGTCTCTTGGAAACGGATTCCAAGAAAGACTGGCTGACGGAATCCGGAAGAGGAGTAGCAGGAGAAGGAGCATCTGAACGAGCAGAAGATGCCAACGAGCGACAAACTCCCCTCAGCAGGTGTGTTGGAGCCTTGACTGGCTGATAGAGGCGATTGACGTCGAATGACGGAGCAAGTAACGGAGCGGGTGATGGAGCGGGGGCTGGGGCCATGCAGAACCGCCGTATCATTATCACGTTTTCCCATGCCACCGAATGGCGACGCTGCATATGCTGACGCAACGCTGTAGTCCCAAACATGGGCCCCCTGGCCGACGTTGACTTTCTGGCCACATAGTCGACATACGGCAATCGTTTACTTCCTCGGCGCGGCTTGACGAAAAATTGCCACACCGCCGAGTAGGAAACTATTTGCCCCCCGCTACTCCTCATTGGCTGACTGCTACTTCCTCCGTGCACACCGTGGCACCACTACATGGCCGTGTTGGTGGTAGCTGCAGTGGAGCTTGGTGCTCTACTCCGTGGCCGTTTGGCTCCACTGACAAACTGCTGCGACCCTCGCTGCCTCCTGGGCAACCCACACGACTGTTTTGCTCGCTGCCAAAGCTGGCACCCTCTTCTCCTGATGATGCGGAAGCAATAGCCTGATGACGACGAGGCTGCCAAGTGCGATCAGCCTCATCATCATCAATTAGGGTCTCCGCCTCACTACTAGCCCCTCGGCTGCGTGTGGGTCAGGAAGACAGACCTTGTCTCTAGACCGGCTACCTCGCCAGTACTTCTTCGCCTGGCTGCTGAAGAGGCGGATTGTCTCCCCCCGTTCCTGACCGCCCTCTGTTAGCTCTTCCTCACTGGTACAGTGGGCTGACCCACAGCATGCGATACTTCGCTTGGTGAGGGAACACCAAAGGACAGGGGCTGGTAGGTGACACGTGATTTCAGTGGGCTTGCTCCCGGGCCATGCCAACTAACGGTTGTGTCTGACGTACCCACCGA